AGTCGGCCCATTCTCCTCTGACCTCTAGCATCAACAAGGCATTTTCGCCCACAGGACTGCCGCATACTGGATGTTTTTCCCTTTGCACACCATTCTATGTAAACCCTTGAAATGGTTGTGCGTGAAAATCCCAGTAACTGAGTAGATTGTGAAATACCTGTATTTAAAGTATCCAAACCTAAGTAATGTATATTAGAGCTGATTTCCTCTATTCTGTTTATTACCAGTACACAGTACACAGTACACTACTGTATAAACATTCATAAATGTACTAAAAATATTATAAATGGTGCAAAGGTGACAGTAAAACAATGTCTAAGTTATGCTTTTCCTTTTTTGATGACATCTTGTACTATAGGGTACACCATACAGTACAGATTTATAGATGAAATATGTAGTCTTAGTCTTGAGGATGTGTAGTTGTGCATCTGACTGGTTGGTTCTACGCATCCTACAGGTGCCTGACACACACCCGACCTTCTGCAGGAAGGAGACCTTATTCCATAGCTCCAACGTCCAGTTCTGACCTTTAGTAGCCTATTGTAGGTGCTTTCAACAGTGGACAGGGGTCAACATGGGCACTCTGACTGATATGCTGCTATACAGCCACATACACAGCAGGACTTGATGCATCATGTGTTATGACCAGGGGTGCAGATAACTAGTACACAAGTAGCCATTCACCTTTAAGAACGATACCTGTAACAATCGATTGTTTGTAAAGGCGCAAATGCGTTCTTATTTTATGTGCATTTGCGCTGCTATGAAAACAAAATATAATGTATTATAATCTTTATATGCTAACTCGACTTCATTTTGCCGTATATGTGTTAAAATCCAAGGTATTTTCTTGTCCTAGCAGCGCAAATGCATATAGAATAAGTACGCATTTGCACTTTTACAAACAATTGATTGTCGCACGTATCGTTCTTAAAGGTGAATGGCTACTTGCGTACCAGTTATCTGCACCCCTGGTTATGACACATTACTCCCGTGACCATCATCAAAATCAGCTGGCATTTGTGCCAAGGTGGCCCTTATTTTGGTTTACACTAGATGGGATAGTCTTCACTCACGTCTCATATCGACAAGTCTTGGCCACCCAACACCCTGTTGGCGGTTATTTTTTCCCCCCCCTTGGAGCACGCTCAGTAGGTACTGACCATTGCTGAGCTTGGCTGACACACAAGCCTTGCCATTCTGAAGATGCTTTGAAGCAGTCATCTCACATTAATGATTTGGACATTCAACATGTACTGAATGTTAGCTTACCATCTAATATATCCCAGACCTTGACATTAACCATGTTTACTAGATGTCATATGTAACAGTACTTTCTTTGAAGTGGATTTCAGAAAGTTTCTTATCCATCATTGTTTTGTAATCCACAACTCTGCATTTAATAGTATGTTGATTAATATTTGGACTGTTAGATGCAGGTCATTACAGTGCTTATTCATGATTTCAAGACGTCTTAGGACTTTCACTGGTTTTCCATCTCCTATATGCCTAATTGGGCTGTGTATGTGTTTGCACTTGTAAAAGGCCTACTTGAGTTCTGTGCAGTTGATGTAGCTTTGAATATTTCTTGTCAGGGTGGAAGAACAATGTGCAGGAGGGAGGTGTGTCCTGTACTATCCTGCCCTGCCTACCTCAGTCACACCCCACCTGGAAAGTGCTGCCCTAAATGCTTAGGTAACTCTCAGTCCTGCTGTCTCATTCTCTCATATGCTGAACCTGTGTTTCTGACCTTGTTCATAGTCCTACCAAAGCTTTCTGATCACACAGAGACCTTTTTGTTGCAGGCCAGAGAAAAGTGTTTGATCTTTCATTGGGAAGCTGCTTGTTCCGCAGTGAGGTCTATGAAAATGGCACCTCCTTTAAATATGATAACTGCACCTCCTGTATCTGCAAGGTTAGTCTTGGTTATAATCAGGATGTGCAGATATGAATTTAACTGCTCTTTTCGATTTGAACATTTCACCTTGTATGTTATATTAAACATCAGTGCTATATGTTCATTTTGAACATACAATAATGCAAGCAAGTAAAAACACTAGCACAGTCTAACACAGAGCCAGTTCTAACATATTGTACACACAGATACAGAGTGCCATTCTCTTTCCTAGGATTCTACGATGGTATGCAGGAAGAGATGCTCTAAGCCTGGAAGCTGCCAGAGAAATTCAGATCACTGTTGTGATGAGTGTCTGTCATACATGAAGGTGGAGGATATCAAGTACTGCCGTGTCAGGAACAAAGTCTACAGGGTGAGAACACCTAGTCTTATCTGGTAGGCTGAACATGAGTGCATGACCACTATCAAATGGCTGATTATACGTATATTAACTCCCACAGTGCCTCAGAGCAAGTTGGTACAAAAAGTAATTTACACCCTGCCAGGAGAGTAGTTGGCAAGTGTTTAAAAAGTAGAATGCAAAGTTAAACTCTTTTTTATCCATGTGATACAATCATAACATGCAGATACTGCGATCCTCCTGGTGTATGATTTATGGAATAACATTTCTGTTTTATGGAAATAAAAAATCACTCATACTTATGAGAATATGCTCATGTTATTGTGCTGGCTGACTATAAAACAAACTAAAATTATGTGTTTCAAGTATTATTAAAACACATACATTGAATGGATAGGTCTGTCATTGTGATCCTGACTGGGTATTTCAGTGTGAAAGCCATAGGGAGAGTTATTTGAATGATAAAGAAATAAGTTTTATTTTTTGGTGGAATTCATAATTAAAAAACTTAATTATAAATAAACACCACACCCAGACAGAATATATAGGGTATTGTTTGTGAAAAATATTTTAATGAAACAAAATAAATCTTGGCTCTAATCTTTTAAAAGTGGAGCTAAGTATGTTATACATGTTACAGAAGGAATATGATGATAAAGCAATGGAGAGATTAATGCTTTATTTATCTTCTTAAGGATGGGGACCGGTGGTCATCAGTGAACTGCACACTATGTGCATGTGTTAAGGGGACCATAGAGTGTAACACGAAACAATGTGTGCCAATCACAAGCTGTCCCTCGGTGAGTGTCCCCTTTGAAGGGCTTATTTTATTCCCCTGGCCATTCCTATGCTCAGGTACTACAATGGTGTGATTATTAAGGCAACATAAAAATAAAAACATAATGCATAATATATAAATAAAATAAGTAAAAATCTAGTGCATATAAAACATCTCAAAAAAAGATGACAAGAGACAAATTATCATTCCGTGATGCATTTTATGGTGGCTTGGAATGATGGTGGCAAATGTGTCAACATATTAAACATACCACAAAGATCCACTCTCCAGAACCGCATACAGGCTTGTTGTCATGTTGACAGTCTGTTTACTGAGTAGGAAAGTGCAATGTGGAATTGCCTTTCTGAAATTAAATATAGCAAGCTCTAAGCTCTATATTCTGCTCTAAATTTCATGTTTAGCAATGTGCATCTAAATGTTTATTGCATCTGTCAGAAAGCTGTAATTCAATAAAGAGTGCACTTTCCTTTGAAACACGCTATTATCAGTCACACTAATAGATGGAAAACACCTACTGTAAGGGCAAAAATACTACTACAAGACACTCTTGGACACACACAGTGATTGGTATGGATTGGTAAACTAGAGCATACATCTCTGGTGTGTGGTGGTTATTATAGTCAGAATATAGTTAATAGTTTTTACAAGCTGTACTACTGGAGGGTTTAATGTCATTACATCACCATGAAGTCTAAGGGTTAATAATAACTTCTGACTCTTTCATTCTTCATTAGTTCAAAAAAACTTCAGAGTTTCCTGCCATGAGAAACTTGCGACTGCCAGACTACATATTGAATGAGTTTAACAACTTAATGTAATTATGCTTTGTGAAAACAAAGAGTTGTGGTGCATGTCTCCTGGGGGCCAATGCATCATTTACCCACTGGCCCATTGCCACCATCCAAGCCTCTGATTTGGACATTTACACGATTTAATGTCAGAGTGGTTGCCTGAATACGGCCCAATTGTGATCTATATTTAGCAAGTGAAAAGTCAGCTCTGTATCTCTCTGAAGACTTGAAAGAATGAAATTTATATATGTGCAGTTGGGGGTGCAGCTTGCCTGGGGGCACTGGCAGGGATGGGGGGGGGCATAGTCCTCTGATGTGCCCTTCCATGGAAAGATTGACACAAGCTCCCGTTTCTGCCAGCTGTCTCTTATTTCAGAGGCAGAGTTTGTCTCTCAGCCTTTAATATTCTGGCACTCTGCCTGTCTTTCACAGAATAAAGTACTCAACAGGACTGGTTGCTGCCCCATTTGTACTGAAAGTGAGTAAGTTATAGATCTTGTTCCTATTCTTTTTACTTCCTGTCACCACCTCCCTGCACCCTCTTTTAAATGGAGTGCACACAGTTACTGTGGCTGATACTGGATTATTTGTGTGTTTGTAGTTTAATTTCTTGGCTAAAGCCGTAACCAAGGAAGATTTCTGCTAGTATAATAGGAGTCCCTTTTGCCAGTTCCAAACGGAAGTGATGGGAATGTTATCACCAAGCAGATCACCATAAGAACATAACTGTCTGACGCTATTTTGGCATTTGGACACTCAACGATGATTTCTATAAAGAAATGGCTTCCCAGTTATTAAATGGTCCTCAATGACATCCCCATTTGTTCTAGAATTTATTTTATCAGTTGATCATCAGGATTGTTTAGTTTGAAATATTTGTCCCCGACAATTATTTCTGCCTTTAAGTAACTTAACAGATTTAATGACTCCATTTGTCTTTGTATAAGATTAAGATTCCTTTTTAACTAGGCTTACAATGTCATTGTTGACATTTTGGATTGTAAAAGTATTGTATCCTTGTGAAAATACTTTGAGGTAATCATACGGTGGCCCCTAGAGACAAAACACACGCAAAAGAAAAAGCAGAAACAAAATGAAAATGTGCTGCAAATT